GACTGTTAACCACTGAGCGGCGGCGGCGGCGGCAGCTCAGGGGCTCTCGGCTCCATCCAGCTTGTCTTCAAACCCCCACGGGGCCGTGCTGGCGAAACCAAACACCTGGGGCCTGCAGGCGGCTGAGAACCGCTTGCGCATTTGGGTTCCCCCAAAAGCTCTCTCCAAAAAGCAAGGAAGCAAAGACAAGTGAAAAGTCAACTCCACACCGAGCACGCGGCCGGCACACCTGCGGGGTCAGAGCTGCGAAGCAACGGAGGCGGCCCGGCAGCAGACGTGGGTGTGAGCGCTTGCCCGCCCCGCCTGCAGCCGCCCCGCCTCGGCGAGAGCAGGGGCAGCTTGACCGGGAACTGGGGGCAGAAGAGGGGGGCTGCCGAGGCCCTAAGATGAAAGCTTAACATCCAAGATATAAAACATCCAAGAAATAAAATTTTTAAAAAAATCCCAACACTACAGAAATTAATAAGACAAGAGTCAGTCTCTCCAGAGCTACTGCATCAAATCAGGGGAGAAGATTTCACACACAGACTGAGGACCCCTCTACCCTCTGTGAGACTGTGTGACAAACGCGTGACATTACCACACGGGAGGGGATCAGGAATAAAAGACACACCTAATTTAGAAAATAGTATTTCTGACTGCGTGCTATAAGGCTAAAGACAAAACACCTGTATGCAAGTGCTGTCCTCGCAGGGGTGGCTGGGAAATGCTGTGACTAGGACTGAACAAACAGGGCTGTGTGCTTGTGTCCCTGGACCCGTGGGCACACGCACACCCCCTGTGTCCCGGGACCCGTGGGCACACGCACACACCCCTGGCTCTGTCTGCTGAGAGGACCTCCACCAGCAGGGAGCACATCGGCCGACCAGACCAGATCCTGGTTTCCACACGGAATTCTCCAGTAAAAGAAAATGGAGTTTGCTGGAGAAGTGATGGATCCCAGGGTTGGGGCAGGGATGGGTAAGATGAGCCTAAGATATCCCGTGGTGCCAGAAAATAAGCACCTGAAAAAGGATGGCAGTTTTTACAAAAGACCCAGAGCCCAACCCGACGAACTGCCTAATCACTAAGGGCTAATGGCTCCTGCTTCCTTATGGAATAACTTGAGTAAAAATAGTAAGAAATGATAGGATTGAAGTATAACTCACAGAACAAAATAAACCTCACCGAGCCCACACTGACACAAATAAGTGAATAAGCAGGGGAGAAGGACAGCTTTTCCTTGCAGGCAAATTCTAAGTAAAACATGTGGAAGGAACGAGAGACCTACAAAGTTGTCATCAGACAAACACCACAAGAATGATCGTTTCAGGCGAGATCTGCCAGTGGATGCTGAAACTGGTGAGCAAAAGTTTTAGGAGAAACAGGTGTTTTCACGCCTCCACAGATCCCCCCCAACTGCGAAGGAAAGGCAGTGACTTCTCAGTGGAGAAACCCAGCAGAGGCCATCGTAACTAAGTGAAGGGTGCGGCCTGTAGGCCGCAGATCCCGTACCCCAGATAGGGTGTACCGGGGACTCAACACTTCTGTGGGAACTCTTTTCCAACAATGCATAACCCCGTCTATTCAGGAGAAAACAGCTGATGAACTGTAACTGAGAAGGCATTCAATAGCCAATCAATCCTCATCAAAAGCAGCAAGGTCATGAAAGACCAGAAAATACTATGACGGGACTGTCATAGACTAGAGGGGACACTACACTTGATCTTAGCCAAAGGGCGGAGACTAAGAAAAAACACTAACGAATGCAGTGGGAAATACTGGATCGGGTCCTGAAACAGAAAAAGGACATTAGGGGCAAAGACTGGTGACAGCTGAGTAAGCCTTAGGGCAGTAGTCGTGTGCCGATTAGTGTCCCGGTTCTGATCATTAGGCACAGTTACATAAATGATCAGCATGAGGGGAGCTCAATGAAGGGCACACAGGACTATTTTGGAAGTCTAAGACTGATGCTAAGTGACAAGCCGAACAGTGGTATACCAAACCCGCCATCTGCACACCGCTTGCACTGCTTGTGCGCCTGTGTCCCAGATGGCCTCAGTGAACGCTAGTTACTTCAGGAGTGTGTGTACGTGTGTGTGAGACAGAGACACACCGAGAGAGAGAAAGAGAAAGAGAAATATGCAGAAGCCTCTTGAGCCAGTCACACCGGAATTCATTTCTGGAGCGGCCAATTACAAGCTGATTTTCCTTTTTCTGTGCTTTTGTTAGAGTTGTGTTTTTATCATTTGTAGTCAAGCGCCTTCTCGCTAACGTATTAACTGCTTCGTTTTAGAAATACTGAGGCAGGTTACAGCCATTCACAGAAAAGGAAAATAATACATCAAGAAAGTGAAATGAAAATAAAGCAGCAGGGGATACGACAGAGAGGGCGGGGCCACACAGAAAATGCATCACTGCACACGGCCAGACGTGCGGCAGAGCCTCACCCTCGTTTACGCTAACGAGCGCTGTGTTTCACTTCACGCCGTCTCTAGGAGGGCAGGTACTTACCTCCACTGTACACATCAGACGACTGAGGCACAGGGAAATTACCTCACTTGTCCAAGGCTAACCAGCTAACAAGACTGGAACAGGGATTTGGACCCAGAAAACCTGGCTTCAGTGCCTGCACTCTTAGACAGTACACTATTAGGCTTTCCGCTTCCTGGCAGCAAAGGCAAAGGCCCTTATAGCAATCAACGACCATGATATATATATAGTAATGATATTCTCTGACCTGTCAGGAGCTGCCGCTCTCAACCCTACCTGTCATGCTTGTATTAGGACACCGTCCCATGTAAGTAACAGCAGCGGAGGATTTATACAGCACTCACAGCTCAGACAGAACTGTTTTTACCCCCAACAGTCAAAATTGAGGCAAATACACAGAACCTGTAACCAATCTTGTATTGTTCCTGACGGTTTCCTAGACAACAATTACAGCTGCATTAGCTTCCTATTGCTAATGTAACACATTCCCACAAACTTGGCAATTTACACAGTACAAATTTATTACCTTATACTGGAGATCAGCAGTCTGACACAGGTCTCAGGAGACTAAAATCAAGATGTCAGTGGCCTACATTCCTTCTGGTGGCTCTAGGGGACAATCTGTTTCCTTGCCTTCTCCAACTTTCTAGAGCCCACCCCCATTCTTTGGCCCTGGCTCCCTTCTTCCATCTTCAAAGCCAGCAGCAGCAGGTAGAGATGCTTCTAGAAGGCTTTCTCTGGTTCTCTCTGGCCCACCTGGATAATCCAGGGTCATCTTCCTGTCTCCAGGGCAGCTGTTTAGCAATCTTACTTCTGCAACCTGAATTCCCTTTGCCAAGTAACACATTCAATGTTTGTGGGTGAGGTCAGAACAGCATGGAGGGTCATATCACTGTTGGCCACAAGAGCTAACACTTATTAAACATTCTATGTGCCAGGTGAATATTTGAAAATAAGTAACAATGGTAATAGTGAAAAAGCAGTGATATTAACATACACAGAACGCAGGCTGCAGAACTATTCCTTTATAAAGAAACTCTTGATTATACTGCATTTCTCAGTTACACATATTATCTCCTTGGATGAGAAAGAACACTGGTATCAGACAGAGCCAACTGGGAATTTCTGGCCCCACATTTTGGTGACAGTCTTAGGGTATTTGCAACATTCCAGACCTCTGGTGGCCTCCAAACGTAATTGTTGGTATATTCTAGATGGTACAGCTCAAGTGCCCTTTGTTGTCTCAATCATACAGCAAGAATGAAAAGAGATTATGAGCAATGACATAAGTATGAGAAAATTATCTGAAGCAGCCTTTTACTATAAATAACCATATGATTTAACACGGTTACTAACAGCAGTGATCACGGCTGAAAGCCTTTTTGATACAGAAGTTATCTGAGCTTTACCTTTAGTTTTTGAACAGGATGTCTTTATTTAAAAAACCTGAAACTTAAAACATCAAACGAACCTTCCTATATTTTCCCCAAACTGAACGTAGTAAATTGGTCTCTGTGTATTCTGAAAGGGGATTCCACTTCTTCAAATCCTTTTGGAAACAAATGACTAGATTACGGTAAGTTTCTTATTGTTGCCAGCATGTTGAAAAGAATGTCTAGTCCAAGTTCCAACTTTACTCACAGTTACCTCTGAATGCAGCATTCTAGTATAAACAACCTATGATTTAACATATGAGAAGAACTGCCACACTTCTCAGATTCCACTAATTTGATGTATGACCAAAAGCAATGATTCTCAAGTTTCATTTAAGAAACCTTTTAAATTACTTTTTTTACATTCTGAAGCCTAATTCCTGCTAGACATTTGGGGTGGATCTGGTGATACCTGGAGACAAATTACTATATGAAATAAAACCCAAAATCCCTTAAAAGAGAAAAATTTTGAAATCCAGTCGTTTGATCGTTAGCCTTCCCATCCATGTGTATCCCACATGGACACTACACTGGAAAGCTAATTCACACTTGGAAAATGCCATCAAACCTGAAGAAAGTATTAAATTTACAATGGCACTCTAGATTCTGCCTTTATTAACTACAAATATGTCAAATATAAATGTTAAATGAGCAACTTTTAACCAAGGATAGCTACTACTAAATGCTCTACAAATTTTAAACATTTGAAGAAAATGTATATTTAAATGTTCATCTCAATATTGGTAAAGCTGCAACTTTAAACAGTATGTTACTTTGTTGTGGGGATGAGCACTAGGTGTAATATGGAAACCAACTTGACAATAAACTATTTGTAAACCCCCCCCCCAAAAAAAAAACCCAGTATATTACTTTGAAAAAGTAACCAAATGTATATGTTATCAGATAAGGCATAAAATTAGGTTTGGAAAATTGTTGCAATTTACACTTTGACCACTAATAGAATTTACTACAAAACACAGATGAGGACTTTGGTGACTTCGTAAGTGCTTTACCAAGTGCATGTGGGCTCACTCTTCCTCATGGAAACAGGAAAAATACATCTGAACGTTTTACATTAAAGTCAGAAACACATTCAATGGATCACAGCATTAATTTAATTACCATGGAAGCTTAAAAACAGACACATTCTATACAGCTACAAATTCAAATTCAGTTTATTTAACTGTTATCCTGTGGCCCACTAGGAGTCTTAAACTAAAAACTGGAACTAAGAATTTCAGGCAAAGTATATTTTTCATGTATGGAAACCGTTTAATGGACTCTGAAACAATAAATCTTCTCATGGTCACTGTTTTAAAAAACAGTGATTTAACAAAGGTTTTTAAAATAGACACGACCATTTTTTCTAATCCAAAATATGAAGCTTGAAGTCTCTAAGTGACAAGTTGGAATATAAAGTTTATAAACATTAAAATTTTGTTTTTAATATAGAGAAAACCTTAATATTGCAAAACAACAGCTGCTAGATTTTAAGAGTAGGCCACAATGTCGATTATTACCACACAGCGAAACCCACTTACTGAGCCCATTTAATCACATCATCTTGCCACTACTGTGGTGTTTTCCTAAGTGCTGTAGAACATTCTTTGTAGGAGGGAACTCCTGCTTTCCAATCTATAGAGATGAAGAAGAGAAGGGAGAAATCAACAATAAAGCACACGGACTGCGCCAAACCCAACACGGCCGAGCAGCAGGCAGTAGCCCTGCCCCGGTCTGCGGCCTCCCTTCCCGAGGCTCCATCGTCGGTGGTCAGGGCGGCCAAGCACGCTGCAGCAGCAGACGGTCTTCCTTCTGAAGCACCATCAGGAGGGCAGGGGTGGCCCAACGCTCCATCCCAGTGCCTGCGCCACTCCCTCCCTCCGTCTCATCACGTGGGCACTGTACCATCTCCTCATCACAAGGAAGCTAGGCTACGTACAACGTGAGCTAATTTGAGAGGACCACATTCATATAACCTTTATTATACTACATTATAATGTTTTATTATTAGACTGTTGTTAATCTGACTGTGCCGAATTTGCAGATTAAACTTTATCACTGGTCTGTAGAAACAGAAGAAACACAGTGTATCGGGAGGGCCTGGCTGGTACTGAGGTCTGAGGCATCCACCGGGCATCTGGGCAAGTGCTCCCTGCAGATGAGGGGGGGCCACTGTCGTTATGTGTCAGTACACTCTAGTGCTAAACCAATTACTGTCATTAAATTCACTTACCATAAATGTGAATATCAAAACCATGCATTTACCATTAAATTCTATCATCACTAAACTCTACTACTCTATCAAAGCAGAAATAGGCCACCGGATATTACACACAGAGAACTATTCAGACTGTTTAACAGAGGAAACCAGATTGTTCTTGTGGTAGAGATGTGGCAATGTCTTGAACAGATCACTTAAGTGAGAGGTTACATCTATTCACTATGAAGCACCTCAGCTAGTGTCATAAAAGTAGAGTTGCAAACCGGCTTAGTAATGAACACCTACTACATGAAAATGATTACATGTCCAGTATAACAAAGATATCTTCCTCTATGACAAAGGTCTGGCAGGCTTGCCTGCAGTCCAAAATAAAATACCTGGGTTCCCTAAGCTTGGGGTTTTTCCTGTAATGTAACTCACTGTATGTGCAGCATCACCGGGCCCTCCTTGAGTTGCTTTATGAGAACTGAGGCTCCAAGAACTAGGCAAGAAAATCATATTCTGGCTACTGCTATTGCTGTGGGAAAAAACTCTTTTGTCTCTATCCCAGGAAGCTCATGTCTTTTACCAGCATTAATGAAATTGTGGCAAGTTGTTAGTTTCCAAGTACAATAAAATCTCAAGATCCTGGGATTCCCATGAAGAAGAAAAGATTTGACATTCTACTTCTCGTTTGTTCAGAATTTTATCACGTATGAGTGGTGAATTTTATCAACTGCTTCTGCCTTTACTGAAATAACAATTTTTCTCCATTGTTCTATTCAGAGAGTGAATTACACTGATTTCCAAATGTTAAATGAACCATTCCTGGAATGAGGTCAGTTTGGCCATAAACTATTATTCTTTCTACAAATTGTTGGACTCGGTCTGCTAATATTGTTAAAATAATTTTTGCATCTGTGTTCATGAGGTTGATCTGTAATTTTCCATTCTTCTAACGTCATTGGTCTGGTTTTGGTGTCATGACTATACTCATTTCTCTAGGAAACTTAACACTAATATCCCTTCTTCCTGAAATGTTTGAGGAATTTATTAATATAGCCATCTGAACCTGGATTTTATTTTGTGGGAAGAGTTTTATTTATTTAATAAATATAGAATGAGTGAGATTTTCGATATCTTCTAGAGTCTGTTTTTGTTAAGGCTGAATTGTCCTAGGAAGTTGCTTGTTTCATCAAAAATTTGTATTAGAGTCGTTTGCAGTGTCCTCTCACCTTTCCAACGACTGTAGGATCTGCAGTGATACTTTCTTCCTGAAAACTATTCTTTTTTTTTTAATAAAAATTTTTTTACAATTTATTTTTGAGACAGACAGACAGACCACGAGTGGGAGAGGAGCAGAGAGAGAGGGAGGCACAGAATCTGAAACAGGCCCCAGTCAGCACAGAGCCCGACACGGGGCTCGAACCCACGAACCGAGAGATCACGACCTGAGCCGAAGTCAGACACTCAACCGACTGAGCCCCCAGGCGCCCCTGTTATTTCTTTAAGTATTGTACCTACCCATTAATGTTTTCCTCTTATTCTGGGGCTTGTGTGTTAGATCTTTTCATTCTCTTCCATTTGTTTTTTGTATTCTTTAAAAAGATTATTTTTTTAATAGTTTGTGTATTTTTGAGAGAGAGACAGCATGAGTGGGGGAGGGGCATTGAGAGCAGGAGACACAGAATCTGAAACAGGCTCCAGGCTCTGAGCTGTCAGCACAGAGCCTGACTTGCAGCTTGAACCCATGAACCGAGAGATCATAACCTGAGCTGAAGTCGTACACTCAACCGACTGAGCCCCCCAGGCGCCCCTGAAAACTATTCTTTACCTAATTTGTGTCTTTCACTTTTTTGCTTTGTCGGTTTCATCAGGGGTTTATCAACTTTATTATATTTCTTCAAGAATCTTTTGGCTTTGTTAATCCTTCTTATTGTATATTTGTTATTTCAGTAGTTTCCCCATTTCTTGTACTTCTTTTGGATAATTTTTTTTCTTCTAAGTTGAGTTATATACTCTGCTCATTAATTTTGTTTCACTTTTATGACGTAGGAACTTAAGGTTATCCCTATCAGTCTACAAAGCTCTAACAGCTTCCCTCAAGTTTTAATGTGGAGGGTTTTATTATCATTCTTTAACTGAAACCCACCTTCTAGTTTTAGTTACGTGATTTCTTTGTTCACTCACTGTTTAGACATTTATTTCCAAACGCGAATTTCCTATTTATCTTTCCATTGCTGATGTCTGGTATTCTGAATTGTAGCCAGAAAGCACATTCTTTCTCAGTCCCTGGTATGTACTGGGACTTACTTTATGGTCTAGAACATAGCCATGCCGTGTAAACATTTCAGAAGCCCTAGAGACCTGACTTTGCAATTATCATGTGCATTACATTCTACATAATGTCGAATAGGTCAGCTTGGTTACTTGGATTATTCAAATCTTCTATACCATTACTCACATTTTTGCTTCGTCTATCAGAGAGGTATTTTAAAATCTCCCATTGTAGTTGTAAACTTGCCAATTTCTCCTGATAGTTCTGGAAATATTTGCTTTATATGGTTCAAGGTGTTTTACTAGATGCATACAAATTTCAAACTGTTACTTATTGCTGGTAAATTAAATATTTCTTCAGTAATTTTACTGAAATTAACCATATGGTCCAGAGCCTATTTTGTCTAACGTTACTATAGGGTGGTTCTTTTTCCCATCCGTTTATCTTCTGATATCCTGTTTTTAAGATGTGTTTCTAGAGATACTATACAGTTGGTTTTTATGTTTTAATGTTTATTTATCTTTGAGAGAGAGAAAGAGAGAGCGAGTGTGAGCAAGCATGAGTGGGGGAGGGGCAGAGAGAGAGGGAGACACAGAATCCGAAGCAGCTCCAGGCTCTGAGTTGTCAGCAGAGAGCCTGACACGGGGCTCGAACTCATGAACTATGAGATCATGACCTGAGCTGGAGTTGGACGGCCAACTGACTGAGCCCCCCAAGTGCCCCTTGGAGAAATGTCTACTCAAATCCTTTGCCCATTTAAAAATATGTCTTTTTAAATTTACTGTTAAGTTATAGATGTTCTTTACAAATTCTAAACATTGACCCTTATCAGGTAAATGATCTACAAATACTTTTTCTCGTTTTGTGGGTTGCCTCTGTTGAGAGTATCCTTAGATACACGTTTTTAATTTCGATGAAGTCTAACTTATCTGTCTTTTCATACCCAAGAAATCACTGCCAAGTCCAGCGTCATGAAGCTTTTCCCCTCTTTTCTTCCAAGAGTTTTATAGTTTCAGCTCATATGCTTAGGCCTTTGATCCACTTTGCATTAGTTTTTGTACACGGTGTAAGGTAAGACGCCAATTTCTTTCTGTGTATGCTTCTAAAAATTGTTCTTTTAGTAATGACACCACGGATTACAACATGTGTCCGCTATTTATCAAAGTCTGGTATAACTGGTACGTGTGTAAGAGGGGACTTAACGCACCAGGACGGGGACCGCTGTCCTTTGGAAGATGTGCTCGCAGGGGTGGCCCCTGGCTAGTGGTGCCAGAAGTGGGAACAGTGGCTCACTGTACCGGAACTGTAAAAACAATGTGCTTATGTTCTGAGAGTCTGGAACTTTGGTATGTGCGAGGCAGAGGATCCTATGTGACTGGTCACCAGTAAAAATACCGGGCACTGATTCTCTCATGAGGTTTCCTGGTAGACAACATTTCATAGGTGAGTCAGAACTCATTACTGGAGGAAACAAGCATGCTTGCGGGGCCCCGCTGGGAAAGGACTCTTGGAAGCTTTTGTCTGGTCCCTTCTGGACATCACCTTCATGGTTTTTCCCCTTTGTGGACTTGGCTTTGTGTAATTTTGTCAAATCACAGCCATGAGTACAACTATATATGGAGTCATGTGAATTCTCGAAGCAAATCACTGAGCCTCGGTGGGCGAGTACTGGGGACCCCCAACAAAGTACATTTTACCCTCTTCCTAACCTACAAGGGGTTTAGAATAGTTAACGGTACTAATCCTCTTTTAGCTTATATACTACTGTCCTAGGTTTATACTGGACGCCATAAAAATACCCTTATTCTTGTTTTACACAGTACTAATTGATATCTACCACATTTCGCTCTTCATTTCTCCTGCATCTCTGGCCTTTCATCTAAAATCATTTTCCTCCTTCCCAGAGAACACTCTTTAGCATTTTCTTTATTGTAATGAGTTTTCTTCTAAGAAACAAATTATCTTAGTTTTTAATTGAGTAAAAGTATATTTATTTAACACTTATTTCTGAAGGCTCTTTTTGGGAATAAAGAACCCAAGGTTTGCGGAATTATCTGATAGCTTCTGTTAAGAATCAGACGTCAATCTAATTGTTGTACTCTTGAGCTAAATTCTTTTTCCTCTAGATATTTTATACATTGTCTTTTTAGCTTTGTTTTATTACGTAGTTTTTCTCTGATTTACTGAAGTCTTTTTATTTTTCCTGCTTGGGATTTGAAAGGGTTTTACTGAATTTGTGGCTTGATGTTTTTCATCATTTAAAACTTTTCGGCCATCTTTTTTTTTTTTTAAACAAAAATTATGTCTGTTCTATTTTCTCTTCCCTTTTTAAAAGTTTCTTTATTTTGAGAGGGGGGATGGGGGGGGAGAGAATCCCAAGCAGGCTCTGCACTGTCAAGAGTGGGAACGCAATTGGGGTTCAATCTCACAAATCGCAAGATCATAACCTGAGCTGAAATCAAGACTGGGATGCTTAACCAACTGAGCCACTCAGGCGCCCCTATAAGCAAATATTTTTTAAATGTCTGATAACTTAAATATTTGGAGTCCCTGTGGATGATTATCTAGTGTTTATGCTGATTTTCATTCATGTGGTCTCACTTCATTTATTAGTTATTTTGGACTGTGCACTCTTATTTACAAAGTAACTGGTATGTGCAAAATTGTTGGCAGAAATAATTTAAAGCCTAAAATGATGCTGCTTTATTCCAGAGAATTCTTGTCTTCACTTCCTCTAGGTGCATGTCAGAAATAACACCAGATCACTCCAACTTAGGGAATAACTTCTGAAGCTGAGTTCCAGTCTCTGAGGAACTCTCTCTTTCTGGTTCATAGTTACTTAACCTGTTGAGGTTCCAACCCACTGCTGAGAGTTCACCAACGCCCCATCTCCCTGGCTTCAAGGCCATCAGAGGGTCCTTTAAACTAGCTACCCCTCTGCAAATATTACCAGGGAAACAGTGGTCCTGACTCTGGGCATGTTTCCCTGAGCCTCACCGTGCACCCTGGCCCATTACCTCGAGAGCTGCCCAGGGCCTTGTTTAAACAGATGTTCTTCAAATTTATTCAGCTCTTCTAGCTGTTGTCTATAAAAGTTGGCTTTAATCACCTAGATGGCTATAACTGAAAACAAATCCCCATTCCAGCTAACAAAGGATCCTATGTTTATGCATGTAATTAAAAAATACATACACAAATTCTCTGATATACTTTTCTGCAAGAGGGGAACTTAATTCCCCTCTTCTGGAGTGTGGATCGCACTCAGTGACTCATGTCTAAAAGAACGTGACAGAAAGCATGGTGTGTGACAGGTTACAGACACCGCAGTTTCCACCTTGCTCCTCTCTCTGGGGAAGCCAGTCCAGCAGCCCCAGGGAGAGCCCCGTGTGGGGAGGCCCATGAGGCCCACAGTCCCAGGGATGAGCCGTCCTAGCAGCAGGGCCTCCGGCGTCTGTCAAGCATCCCGCTGGCTTCAGCCTAGGGACTCCTGTGATGCCACAGCAAGGTGTTGCCTGGGCTGCCTAAGCCACTCTGAACCCTGACCTGCAAACTATGAGATAATAAACGTTGTGTGAGGCAGGATCTGGGTAACTGGGTTTGCACTGATATCTTGGTTTTTAATTTTATAATATTTTTAAATTTAATACTATTTCTATTTGAAAAAATCAACAGTTTAAAACAATGTGTTTTAATCTTAGAGAATGAATGAGCACGAGTGGGGGAGAGGGGCAGAGGGAGAGGAAGAGAGAGACAGAGAGAGAGAGGGAGAATCCTAAGCAGGCTCCACGCCCCGACATGGGGCTCGATCCCATGACTCTCAACATGGGGCTCGAACCCGTGACTCTGAGATCATGTCCTGAGCCAAAATCAAGAGTCAGATGCTCAACCGACTGAGCCACCCCAGCACCCCAATAGCTTACGATCTTCAAGTAATATTTAAATATAAAAGATATGCTTAATTTACCTCTTGTTGCTTCTTTTATTCCTGACTGGAATCAGGGTTTTTCAAAACACATGAAGTCATTTCCACAATAGTATTAATAGATAAGCCATTCAGAAAACCTTTATGATTTACTCTTACTTCCTGAAGAGCATCTATAATATGGTCTCTACGCAAAAGGAAAACACACATAAGCACATATCCTTTCCAAAGTAACACATTCTAAATATGGATAAGCCATTGCACTGAACCGTATTTGTCCATAAAAATATGACCCCACTGAAAACACCATTGAAGTCATTACCTGCTAACTTCTGGATGTAGTTCAGCCAGTCTCTTCATGATTTTGGTAAAGCTACGCAGATTCAATGTATTTGGAGGTATGAACTGAATAGGCGTATCAGGTAATAATTTAGTAGATTCGATCTGTTTACAATTCTTCTTGACACCCTAAATAAGCATTTTAAAGTTTTCTTAAAAGCAGTAACCATTAATTATATAGACACTCCAACGTATTTAATTAAAATAGAATTTAAAATTATAAATGGTAAAGTCCCAATTCCTAAGAAATTTACTTTGATGTGGTATTATTTATATCAAGCAGACTTACTTGAGCCCTGTTCAGAGTCATGTTAGTTAAAAAAAAAATGCCACACCTGTTCTCTAACAGCAGTGACAAAACATTTGAAGCTATGTCTAAATCAGCCTTTCTCAACTGGGGTGCTTCATCTGAACCACAGAACACAGATACTATTTTCTCAATCTTCCCAAAGATAGGACATAACTAGTTCCATTTTCAGTGCACAGGAGAAAGGTTAATTCACCACATACAGTGGATATCTTAGGCTTAGGGCATGGAGGCTTAATTCTCTTACCCAACCTGACAAAGAAAGGCTGGTTTACAGAGTAATTATCAATACTCTATATTTTACTTACTAAATATGTAGTCAATACACTCTATGCCCAGAAGTGGGCCACATACTATGGAGGGAAAACTAGTGATATAAAATTGAACCCCTTCCACTTATGAATTGTACAGTCCAATCAAACAGACAAAATTAAAATGATTATTTACTATTAACCAGGCAAGTAGGCTATAAACTGTATGACGTCACTGTATATCCCATAAAAAGGGAGGGCTGAGACTTTAAAGTCTAGATAAAAAGACAGGGCAAGATACATAAAATATCATATTTATGCCAGAATACTACCTATTTTACTTAATTGCTTAATATCGTATCTACTTCACTAGCTTTAGGCTGTATAAGAACACATATTTTTTGGTCTGTGTTGTTCACTGCTGCCTTCCCAGTGCCTAGAATACTTACGTATACAACGGATGTGTAGTAACATGAATAGATAAAAGTTTGGGACACAATTGACAGTTCAACCACAGAAAAGAGGAGATTTCTAAGAAACAGCCAAATTACTGGTAAACAACAACAGTAGCAGTTACACTAACTGAGTACATTCTCTGTGCCAGGCACAGTTCCAAGAATTTTTCTGTGCTAACCTCATTTAAACCCCACAACATCTGCGAAGTAGAACTATCATTCCCATTTCACGATAAGGAAGCTCGGACAGAGGTCAGGGCATGTGCCCAGTCACACAGCGAGTAGGCAGCAGAGCTAGGGTCTGCCTCTCGCCGTGGACGGTGAGTATCTTCTGCACAAATGAATGTAACGAATGGATCTTGAGAATCTGAGAAAAGAAAGGTGAGAATATCTCACATACTAAATAAGAATGAACTCAGAGGGAGGGGTTGAGACGGCAGAGTAGGAGCACTCTAAGCTTGTCTCATCCCTCGGACACAGCTAGCTAGTTATCAACTCACTCCGTCCACCCTAGAACTCAAGTGGCGGTCTGAGCAAACAAAACCTGTGAGTCTACAAGTAGGAAGAGTCTACCACCTTCTGGAAGGTAGCAGGTGTGGACAGTTGACTTGGGGGAGATATAACCGTGGGTCCGGCCGTGGGGAGGGAGGCTGCTTACAGAGGATACTGCAAAGTCGTATAAGCCGCAGATGGCAAAATCTGGATTTTCAGCATCCGCTATGGCGGGGGTCGCAAGAACAGGTGGTGACAGCGTGCTGCACTGTTCCAGGCACAGGGGCGGGACTCCGGCTGAGGGCAGCGAGCAGGGTGCAGGCTGTCTGCTCTGTTTTGCCATGAACTCCAAACCACTGGGGGTTGCGCCACCACTTTTCTTGCAAGGCAGGTCGGGGTGGGGGGGGGGAGGAGGGGTGGCAAATGGCAAAAGTGCGGGGAGACCCTCTCCCAGAGGAACAGTGCTGATCTGAGCTGCAGGGGTCCCTAAGATGTGGAGTTTTGAAACACAGTTGCACACCTGAGATAAAAAAGCTCAGACACAGGCAGGGTGAATGCAGGGTTCTGACGGAAACTGGGGGACGCAAGAAGGGTGGGTGATTACCCTTCCGTGAGGGTTCCGGGAAGAGCGGGGATGCAATCTTTCATCCTGGGGCTAGAGAGCAGGGCGTGGCCATATTCACCACACCCATCAGCCCTGAAAGCCTTCAGGGGGCAAGACAGTGGAAGACAGGGCCACTTACACCTGTCTGCCTGCACCCTGCTGATGCATCTCCACTGAAACAAGTCAGCCTGAGATGGGCACAGCAGCCCCTCCCCCAGACCAGCATAAACCCCTCTCCTGCACCAAGTCTAGTGACTGCAATGCTGCGAAGTTTCAGCCCTGAGGGAAACAGGACCTGACTTCTTGTTTACTTTTATTTTTTTTAATCATTTAAAAAATTCCTTTTTAATTTTTTATTAAGATTTATGTACATATTTTTAGATATGTTTTTGATTTCTTTATTTTGATTTCATTTATTTAATTTTTGGATCTAAATTCTTTTAACAAGCTGACCAAAACACACCCAGGATCTAGCTTTGTTTTTTCCTTTGTTCTTCTTCTTTTCTGGACAGAATGATGCGATGAAGGAATTCACCCCAAAAGAAAGAACAGGAAGTAGATCTCATGGCCAGGGATTTAATTAATACAGATATAAGTATGATGTCTGAACTAGAATTTAAAACAACAGTTATAACGATACTAGCTAGGCTTTAAATAAAGCATGGAAGACACCAAAGAATCCCTTCCTGCAAAGATTAAAAAAAAAAACCCAAAATCTAGTCAGATCAAAATTAAAAATGCCATGAGATGCAAACCCAAATGGGGGCATTAAAAAAGCATGGATGAAGCTGAGGAGCAAATAAATGATACAGGAAATGAAATTATGGAAAATGATGAAGCTGAAGAGGGAGAGAGCTAACAGATAACGAAGGTATATTTAGGGAACTAGTGACTTTATTAAAATGGAATAACATTTGTATCATAGGAGTCCCAAAAAATGAAGAGAAAGAAAAAGGGGCAGAAGGTTTATTCAAACAAAGTATAGCTGAAAACTTCCCTACTCTGAGGAAGGACATACATCTAAATCTAAGAAGCACAGAGAACTCCCACTGAATTCAACAAAAGTTGACAATCGCCAAAGGCATATCATAGTCAAATTCACAAAATACTCAGACAAGGAAAGAATCCTGAAAACAGCAAGGGGAAAAAAGCCTTAACCTATGGGGAAAAAAGCCTTAACCTACAGGGAAAGGCAGATCAGATTCACAGCAGATCTGTCCACAGACACTTGGCAGGCCAGAAGGGAGTGGCAGAATGTATTCAATGAGCTGAACGGGAAAAATATGCAGCCAAGAATTCTTTAACCAGCAAGCCTGTCATTTAGAATAGAGTTCCTGAGACAAACAAGAACTAAAGGAGTCTGTGACCACTAAACCAGCCCTGCAAGAAATTTTAAGGGGGACTCCCTGAGTGGAGAAAAAAAGACCAAAAGCAACAAAGGCTAGAAAGGACCAAAGAACATCACCAGAAACACCAACTCTATAGGTTAACACAATGGCACTTAATTTCTATCTTTCAAGAATCACTTTGAGTGTAAATGGACTAAATGCTCCAATCAAAAGACACAGGGTGTCAAAATGGCTAAAAAAACCCAAGACCAATCTATATGTTGCCACCAAAGCCTCATTTTAGACCTAAAGACACCTGCAGATTAAAAGTGAGGGAATGAAGAACCACCTATCATGCTAATGGATGTCAAAAGAAAGCTGGAGTAGCCATACTTTTATCAGACAAACTAGAAGATCTAACAATTATAAATATTTATTCCCTCAACGTGGATGCTCCCAAATATATAAACCAATGAATAACAAACATAAAGAAACTCATTGATAACAATGCAAGAATAGTAGGGGACTTTAACACCCTACTTACAGCAATGGACAGATTAAGCAGAAAATCAACAAGGAAACAGTGCCTTTGAATGACACACTGGACTGCATGGGCTTAACAGATATATTCAGAGCATTTCATTGTAAACAGCAGAATATACATTATTTTCGAGTGCACATTGAACATTCTTCAGAATAGATCACATACTGGAGCACAAACCAGCCCTAACTAAGCAACTATAAAAAGACGGAGATCATACCATGCATATTTTCAGACCACATGCAATTAAACTTGAAGTCAATCACAAGAAAAAATTTGGAAAGGCCTCAAATACATACAGGTTAAAGAACATCCTACTAAAGAATGAATGGGCTAGCTAGGAAATTACAGAAATAAAAAGCACTTGGAAGCAAATGAAAATGAAAACACGACAACCCAAAACCTCTGGGATGCAGCAGAGGCGTCCTAAGTGGGAACTGCAGCTCAGGCTGATCTCAAGAAGCAAGAAAAGTCTCAAATACACAACCTAACCTTACACCTAAAGGAGCTAGGAAAGGAACAGCAAATAAACCCTAAAACCAGCAGAAGGGAAATAATAAAGATTAGAGCAGAAATAAACAGTATAGAAACAAAAAGACCCAGTAGGACAGACCAACAAAACTAAGAGCTGGTTCTTTGAAAGAATTAATAAAATTGATAAATCCCGATCCAGACTTATCAAAAAGAAAAGAGAAAGGACCAAATTGATAAAATAATGAATGAAAGAGGAGAGATCACAACCAACACCACAGAAATACAGTTATAAGAAAACACTATAAAAATTATGTGTTAACAAACTGCACAATCTGGAAGAAATGGACAAATCCTAGAAACTCACAAACTACCAAAACTGAAACAGGAAGAAACAGAAAACTTGAACAGATCCACAACCAGCAATTAATTGAATCAGTAATCAAAAGTCTCCCAACAAACAAAAGTCCTGGGCCACACCACATGGCTTCCCAGGAGAGTAATTCCTATTCTTCTCAAACTGTCCCAAAAAATAGAAATGGAAGGAAAACTTCCAAACTCATTCTATGATGCCAGCATTACCTTGATTCCAAAACCAGGCAGAGACACCACTAAACACACTAAAAAGGTGAACTACAGGCCAATATCCCAGATGAACACGGATGCAAAAATTCTCAAACACTAGTGAACTGAATGCATCAGTACATTAAAAGAACTATTCACCATGATCAAGTGGGATTTATTCCTGGGCTGCAGGGTTGGTTCAATATTTGCAAATCAATTGCCATACACCACATCAGTAAAAGAAAGAAAAAGAATCATATGATCTTTTCAATAAATGCAGAAAAAGCATTTGAAAAAAATACAGCATCTGTTCTTGATAAAACCCCTCAACAAAGTAGGGATAGGAGGAACATACATCAACATCATAAAGGCCATATATGAAAGACCAACAGCTAATATCATCCTCAACGGGGAAACACTGAGAGCCTTTCCCCTAAGCTCAGGAACAAGACAAGGATGTCCACTCTGACCATCACTATGTAACATAGTACTGAAGTTTTAGCCTCAGCAGTCAGACAAAAAGAAATAAAAGGCATCCAAATCAGCAAGGAAGAAGTCAAACTTTCACTATTTGCAGAGAACATGATACGCTACACAGAAAATCCGAAAGACTCTACTAAAGAATTGCTAGAACTTATACATGAATTCAGCAAAGTAACAGGATATAAAATCAACATGCAGAAAATTCTGTTGCATTTCCACACACCAATAACAAAGCAGAAGAAAAAGAAATCAAGGAATCAATCCCATTTACAACTGAACCACAACCAGTAAGATACTTAGGAATAAACGTAATGAAAGAGGTAAAAGATCTGTAGTCCGGAAATTATAGAACACTTATCAAAGAAACTGAAAAGGACACAAAAAATAAAAAAGTATTCTATGTTCATGGCTTGGAAGAACAAGAACAAACATTATTAAAAATGTCTACGCTACCCAAAGCAATCTACATATTTAATGCAATCCCTATCAAAATACCACCAGCCTTTTCCTCTGAGGTAGAACAATCCATCCTAAAATTTGTATGGAACCACAGAAGACCCTGAATAGCTGAAGCAATTCTGAAAGACAAGACTGGAGCATCACAATTCTGGACTTCAAGCTATCTTACAAAGCTGTAGCCATGGGGACAATATGGTACTGGTACAAAAACAGACACATAAATCAATAACACAGATATAAAACCCAGAAATGGACCCACCAACTGTATGGTCAACTAATCTTCAACAAAGCAGGAAAGAATATCCAGTGAAAAAACGATGGTCTCTTCAACAAACGGTGCTGGGAAAACTGGACAGTAACATGGAAGAATGAAACTGGAGCATTGTCTTATATCACATACAAAAATGAATCCAAAACGGATCGAAGATCTAAATGTGAGGCAGAAAGCCATCAAAAGCTTAGAGGAGAACACAGGCAGCAACCTCTATGACCTCAGCCACAGCAACTTCATACTAGACACAACACTGGAGGCAAGGGAAAAGCAAAAATGAACTACTGGGACTTCACTGAGATAAAAAGCTTCTTCACAGGGAAGGAAATGATCAACAAAACTAAAAGACAACCTATGGAATGAGGGAAAATATCTGCAAATGACATATCTGATAAAGGGTTAGTACCCAAAATCTATAAAAAACCTATCAAACCTAACACCCAAAAACCAAATAACCCACTAAGAAACAGGCAGAAGACATGAATAGACACTTTTCCAAAGAAGACATACAGATGGCTAATAGACACATGAAAAGATGTTCAACATCATTCATCATCAGGGAATACAAATCAAAACCATAAGAGACCACCTCACACCAGAGTGGCTACAAGTAACAACACAGGAAACAAGTATTGGTGACGATGTGGAGACAGGGGAACCCTCATGCACTGCTGGTGGGAAGGCAAACTGGTGCAGCCGCTCTGATAAATAGTGTGGAGGTTCCTCAAAAAACCAAAAATAGAACTACCTTACAATTGAGCAATTGTATGAGTAGATATTTACCCAAAGAATAGAAAAATACAGAATCAAAGGGGCACCTGGACCCTGAGGTTTATAGCAGCATTATCAACAACAGCCAAACTATGGAGAGAGCCAAATGCCCATCAACTGAAAAATGGTAAAGAAGATGTGGTACACATACAATGTGATACATATACAATGGAATGTTACTGAGCCATCAAAAAGAATGAAATCGTGCCATCTGCAATGACATGGATAGAGTTAGAATGTACTATGGTAAGTGAAGTAAGTCAACCAGAAATAGACAAATACCAATTTCCTTCATATGTGGAATTTAAGAAACAAAACAGACAAACATATGGGAAGGGGGAAAAAGGAGGAGTGAAGAAAACAAACCACCAGAGACTCATTTTAACAATAAGAGAACTGAGGGCTGATGGAGGGAGGTGGGTGGGGGATGGGTATTACGGAGGGCACTGGGTGTTGTACTTAAGTGATGAGTCATTGAATTCTACTCCTGAAAATAATACTGCATTGCATGTTAACTAAAATTTAGATAAGACATTAAAAAAATACAGAATTAAAAATCTTTGTGACCATGGGTTTTGTAAAGATTTCTTAGATACGACACTAAAAGCACAAGTTAAGAAAGAAAGAAAGTTAATAAACCGTATGTCATCAAAATTAAAAACTTCTTTGAGAAAGACAGTATTACAAGAAAGAAAAGCCTAAGTACAGGCTAGAAAAAGTATTCCCATATTATGTATCTATTTTATAAAAGATTTGTATTCAGAACATAAAAAACTCAAAACCCAACAAAATAAGCAATCATTTATCAACTGATGGACACCTGGGCTGTTGCCATAATCTGGTTATTGTAGATAATGTTGCTATAAAAATCAGGATGCATGTATCCCTTTTATTTTTGTATTCTTTGGGTAAACACCCAGTAGTGCGATTGCTGCATCATAAGGTAGTCCTACTTTTAACTTTGTGAGGAACCTCCACACTCTTCTCCATGGCCGCTGCACCAGTCTGCATTCCCACCAACAGTGCATGAGGGTCTCCTTTCTCCATAACCTCACCATCACCTGTTTCTTATGTTGTTACTTTAGCCACTCTGACAGGTGTGAGGTGATATCTCATCATGGTTTTGATTTGTATTTCCCCGATAAGTGATGTTGAACATGTTTTCATGTGTCTGTTGGCCATCTGTGTTTTTTGAAAAAATGTCTATTCATGTCTTCTGCTCATTTTTTAACTGGATTATTCATTTCTGGGAACTGATGAATGGAAAAAGATGTACACACATACATAATGGAATATTACACAGCCAGAAAAAAGAATGGAAGCTTGACATTTGCAATGACACAGATGGAGCTAGAGAGGATTACATCAGGCGAAATAAGACAAAGACATATGCCATATGATTTCACTCCTAAATGGAACTAAAGAAAAAAAAACCCAAATGGGCAAAGGGGAAAATAAAGGGAGAGAGGCAAACCAAGAAACAGACTCTTAACTACAGAGAACAAAGTGGTGGTCACCAGAAGTGGGTGGGGGATGGGTGAAAGAGGTGATGGGGATTAAGGAGTGCATTCGCCATGATGAGCACCGGTTGATATAAGAAGTGTTGACTCACCATACTGCACTATACTGCATACCTGAAACTAATATTATACTGCATATTAACTAGATGGAATTTAAAAGAAAACCTAAAAAAGTAAAAAATCAAATTAAAATGGTCAAAACACAAACAGCAGTGAAACGCTATACACACAATATGGGTCCATCTCAAAGCACCTCAGACAAATAAGGTTACAGGGTATCATTTATATGACACTCTGGAAAAGGTAAGATCATAAGAAAAGGAACTAGAGCAGAAGACAATGTCCTGGAGCGATGTTCTGGAACGCCAGCCACTTTGCTGAGCAGTGGAGAGATGAGAGTGCCTGAGGTGATGTCATCACTGTTCATGTGATGAGGCACATCGGGGGCATATATAACATGATAACTTTATTTGGTGGTTTTAACAATTTTGAGCTAAGATTAAGATTAACTGTGTAGAAAGGATGAGGGTGTAACTAAGTACTTGCACAGCAATACTGCCCAAGAATCAAGAGACAAGAGAGACTGGAAAGCACTGGTGAAGGGCCTAATGCACGGTGTTTAAGAGTCTCTAGCCAGGTCCGCAGAGACCTACATTCCCCTCCCCCGCCAAGAGCAACTGGACTCGTACAATCAACAGATTAGGGTGGGCCCAAGGCTCAGCTTAACATTCTCATTCCCACGTCAAGATCCCTGCTTCTAGAGTTACCTGTTCTGCAAGCTCCTCATTGCAGGAGAGCATATACAAAGACCACGTAAGGGATCCATCAAGAAAACTCACCTCACGGTCTGGCTCGGACCCCAGCTGCCTTGGCCTAGTTCTGGGCAATCTCGAAATCAAGGAGGCTGAGCTACTTTCTTTGCTGGTGCCCCTCTCCATTCCATTTTTGTGGTAAAGTGATGAGGTATATTCTCCAGGAGTTTTCACAAGCCGCACCTTTACTGACTTTCCATTTATTTCTTTCCCATTCATTTCTTTCACAGCCATCTTTGCATCAATGTTTTTTTTAAAAGCAAGGGATGCATACCTAACATAAAAGCAGAAAATCAAAAGGCTGTTAATGACTTTAAATTGCCCCAACCCTCACTTTGATCTACTGGATAAATACTATCTTTTACAAGAGAGTTGCTCTTAAAATTAGAAAACTTACTATACTTACCTTGGGATTAGGAAGAACATTTATTTAGAGTAACTAAAAAAAAAACAAATTAAAGATGGGAAATAAAAGACAGCATTTCTTATGAATTCTCTATTAATTTTACATTAAAATTTCCTGTGAAACACTTGCAAAGTTGCCATCTGACAGACTAACACAGAACAGTAGTTTCAGGACAGCTGGTTGTCCATTCTAAAGACATTACAATTATTCTCTGCACACAAACATAACCACAAAGTGGATAAAAGGCTTACCTGTGAAAGGCAAATTTTAAAAACATTTGGCAGAATACGTAAGAGAATGTCCTCAGGACCTTGCTAGGGGAAAAATATGAGGACCAAAAAAGAAGTCAGAAAATGGAGCCAGAATTTTAACTGTCTAACTGAGAATGAGTCATCCTTCTGCAAGCACCAGCTCCAGACGTGTCAATGGAAGGATACACCTCAAATCTGAGAAGGAGTTGTTTTCAAGGGACAGGACTGTGGATATATTTTATCGCCTCTTGTATTTTTCTTTTTAAGTTTTTTTTCTAAATTTCCACACAAAATGTATAATACTTCAAGTAATAAAAAAAAAAAAAACCAAAGTTTTTTTTTTAAAAGGATGCAACAAGTACTAAAAGAATATTTCACATCAAGTAATACTTCCACGATTACAAAACTAATTTAACATAGTGAAATGTATTAACAACATATCAATAGGTCAAATTAAAAAAGCACATAATCTTAAGTGACTCCATTTAAGACAAAATTCAACTATTTTTAATAAATTTCAACCCCAACTACATACAAGATTTTTTCTTAACTGGTAAAGACTTTTAGATCTGATAAACAGCTATTATCATTACTGATAATACAGTTAAGGCCATTTCCACGAAGCTGTCACCATTATTATTTGATACTTTCGAATGTTCCTATAGCGATCACAAAACAGAAGGTGGCACGATACGTACTGGAATGATTATATGCAGATGATGTAAAAAATATAAAAGCAACAACTAAAAGGTAATTAAAATTAAAAAGACTAAAAGTACAATTTTCTGAGCAATTTTTTTTAGATGCTAGGATATCGCTTTACTTATTTAATGCTGGTTTCACAGCTTTGACGGTACTATTATTACGGTCACTTTACAGATGAAGAGCCTGAGGTACAGAAAAGTTACGTAACTTGTCCAAATATATCCAGTAAGCTACTGATGCACCTGCGAATGAAGCCCAAGCCGTAAGCCATCTAGCTAAACTCCTGCATTCTACCGCCCGTATGAAATGGTATGAAACAAGATTAAGTGTACAAAAATCAATAAGCCATTAACGGCAAATCAAAAAGTATAATGAAAGACTGGATTGGGAAGAGCACCAACTGATTTCAGCTCAGGTTATATGATCTCACAGTTCATGAGTTTGAGCCCCACATTACGCCCCATGCTGACAGTGTGGAGCCTGCTTGGGATTCTCTCTCTCCCACTCTCTCTGTCCCTTTCCTGCCCGACCAAGTAAATAAATAAACTTAAAACAAAACAAAACAAAAAGAACAGCACCAACTGGGGCAACTGGGTGGCTCAGTCAGTTAAGGATCTGACTTGGGCTCAGGTCATGAGCTCATGGTTTGGTTCGTGTGTTCGAGCTCTACAGTAGGCTCTCTGCTGTCAGCATGGATCCTGTTTCAGATCCTCTGTCCGTGCCCCAACCTCACTCAAAAATAAACATTAAAAAAAAAAGACCATCACCAATTAGTGACTGTAGCTATCTGTCGATATGTCTCCCTCTACCAGGCCGGGAAACCTCTGTGGCAATGGCCCCCTTGACTTTACCACCGCTGTGGCTGGCGTCCACTACAGGCCTCCTGGCACACAGCAGACACCAGCAGATGCACACTTACTGAATGTGGGAAACATACCTATAATTAGTAGAATCATAGACTGAAATTTCAGAAACTTGGTATTTCTGGAAATAAGACCTTAAATCAGCCTGAAAGAAAAATAATAGTTTGTGAAAGGTAGGAAAAAAAAAACCCAAAATATGAACAATTCATAGATTTTAAAAATGAAACTCAAAAAAATCAGTCCCGGCATACCTCAGACACTGAAGGGCAGAGACCACCAACATGAATCAAATAACCTTTATCTTTCCGTAAAGTTTCGGTATTTTTCGTTTCTGCTTGAAGAGAAACAATATAGAACAGAAGATGGCCATTACTGTTTTGATACTTGAAAAGAACCCTGAAACCTTTTATATGATTGTTATTACAAAGCTTACTATGACGTTATTACCAAGTATCAGCCCTAGACTGAAGACCAAGAGCCTAGAGTACAGTTGTAAGATTTTGGGGTCTTCCTCATGTCATCTTCAAAATAAAGAGACTGGATTGGTTGATTTTAAGTCTCGTAGCTCAAAAACAGGTCAATAACCTCTAATCAGATAATCAATTACATCATAATCAAGAAAGGTGTCTTTCACTGTCATTGGTTCAGAGAAGCGCTATCGAAGATGTTGGACGAACACAGGACCCTGAAGGCCCCAGGGTGATACTGTACATGTATCACGTATATTCCTTTGCTGGGGAAATATCCCACCAACAAACCCTTTAAATCAGAAAAATATCAGCAGGTGGCAATGGTAACGGCATATGATAAAAGGGGGGTACCTGATTTACGTAGCACTTGTTGGAAACCACAAATATTAGGATTATAGATACATTTTTTGTTTCAGATAATTCAAAACTCTTAGAATGTATTTTCACGATCTCTATTTTGAAAAGAACTTGGTCTGAAATCAAAAAGGATTTACTGAATTGAGATTCTTTCAACCTATCGCTGGCACATCAGTGGTCCACAACAAATAGTTGTTGAATGAATTCTTAGAGTAGCTTTACTTGTTTCCATGTTTGTATAACAATGGGAGAGCTATACGCTTAATTTCCTATTTCTCCTTCTCTAACATGCCCAGCACTTCACACGTGTCATCTCACATAATGCTCACGAGCGCCCCGTGACCCAGCAACTGCTACCATCTCCTTTCTGCAGAGGAGGGTGCCAAGGTCTTAGGCATTTAGGTCACGACTCTGGTTAAGTGGTGCTGCTGGGTGGGATTCAGGCAGAGTCCTTCATCTCTAGGCAACGATAACTCAGCCTTCTTCATTAACTTAACCTCTTTCAATCTCTTGGTTCATAACGTACTGTTTGTTGTAGACAAAACAGTGAAACTAATTACCTGTACAGTTTTACATTGGGGTGAGGAGGGAGCAAAGAGCTACAGTGAGCAAATTATCAGGAGACATACATTTGACTCATCCCCTCCTCTTTCACTAGTTCAGTACATATATGACCACCAAACACCCCACGGGCAGAACACTGCACATGGCACTGGGTATGGGTAGTGAAAAATACAGAAAAATCCGACCTCACTGAGCTGCTATATGATGTGGGAGGGCAGTCCACAGACCAAGTAAGCTACGTACACAGTGGGTGCCAAGTGATGTAGACAAAATTAATGCAGGGAAAGGAAAAAAAATTAGTTACCATAAAAGTAGATGAAATAATGTCATTTTAAGCTGCAGATGTGTATCATGTATATGCATAAAGAAATGCATAAATGAGTGGTAAAGTATATTGAGAGTGGTTAATGCAAAATTGGTAATTTAAACTTTCTTATATTTTATTTAAAAATATTAGTAAGCATGATTTACACAAGCAAAAAAACACACCCCCTGAAAACCACTGCCATTATGTCAAATAGAAGAAAAAAATCCAGGAATACATATAGGAAAAAAATAAAAGTATCGTATATTTAGAAATGATAGAACGGCAATGATGACAGACACTAGAGGAAATTACAACTGTTATAAGCAACTAAGACTATCCAAAGGTGCAATAATATTAAAAGTTTAGTACCCAGAACAGCACAAGAGATGGTTACAGAACGAGCTACAGTAATTCAGGATTTCTCAGTAAACCGTTCGCAACCAACCTTGTGTAAACTTGGGATCCCCTCTGTCCTTCTCCAGCTGATTTTCCTGTGTTCCTGACAAGTCAGCTCCGGTCAGGTTTTCTTTAGCATCAAACCAGTCTTCACTTACTTCTCGGTCATTTCTGCAGCCTGAGAAATTGAACAGAAGTAGCTATGAATTGTCTCTGATGTTAAACTCTCTGAGAAATTATCTAACAGGCTTCTCAGAATGAAATAGCATGACGGCAATTATTAGTTTTATGTAAAAATGTCAGCAAAATATAAACCAAGCATAAGACTCTTTGAGAAGGGGTTTTCAGTAGCCCCTGAATAAAAAGTACTATTCTGAGTGACCTGCTTCCCAGTACTTATTACTTTTTTATTTTTAAATATTTTATTTATTTCTGAGAGAGAGAAAGTGAGAGAGAGAGAGAGAGAGACAGCATGAGCAGGGGAGGGTCAGATAGAGAGGGAGATACAGAATCTGAAGGAGGCTCCAGGCTCTGAGCTGTCAGCACAGAGCCCAATGAGGGGCTTGAACCCACGAGCCTTGAGATCATGACCTGAGCCGAAGTCAGACGCTTAACCGACTGCGCCACCCAGACGCCCCTATTTTTTTATTTTAAAGAAAGCAAGTGAGCACGAGCAGGGGAGAGAGGGAGAAAGAGAATCTTAACCAGGCTCCACGCTCAGCATGGAGCCCCATGTGGGGCTTGATCTCATGACCTTTGTATTAGGACCTAAACCAAAGTCAAGAGTCAGACACTCACTGACTGAGCCACCCAGGTGCCCTTTCTAGATTTTTTTTTTTTTTTTTTTAATTTTAGAGACAGAAAGAGAGAATGCTTGAGCAGGGGAGAGGAGCCACTTTTCCTTTAATTAACAATGATTCCTTAGTTTATTGAAAGCATTACTTTTCTGATTTTTAAATTTTTATACACAGAATAACAGTAAACATTTAAAAAAAGGGATTAAACAATACCGCAGCTCTATTTCATAAAAACTGAATTAATGACCTTTTTGGAATGATTATAATCTTTTTTCACAGAGGGCAAAACTAAAACCAAAGTACATCTTATATAGAAGCAAACTGGACAGAAGAAAGAACCTTCAGATTGGAAAACACGAAGCAGAAGAGTCTGGATGCTTATTTGGCATTATCAATATCAAATAATCTATCAAGTAAACTTACAGATGGTAAGTAGATGGAACAAGAACGTACTTCACATTCATAATCAGACTGATGACGTTCAATAAATTACAAGTAGTTACTCTGATGTAATCACGGTCACTAGGAACGTTTTAAACTTGATTTAGTTTTCCGGCAATGACGCAGGACTACATCTTTACACTGACCTTTTTCATCAAGTTTCAGTTGACTAAAGTCTAAGTCTAGGTCACCATTTTTTAAGCCATCTTCCTTGGGTAACGTAGCCTGTTTAGGATGACTACTGTCCGACAGTAAGGACATCTGAGGAGAATAATAAAACAATAAATAAGGACCAACAGCTATGGATGCTGTGGGGCAGCAGGCATCCCCATGGGCACTCGCTGGCCTGCGCAACAGTGAGGGCGGCAAGTGCTCAATCATTTTCTCTGCTGAGCAACTGGACATGAGCGACCTGTTGCTCTACGTTGGTCACACTTAACAAGAATAAGGTTTGAAGTCAGCCTGTGTATGGCGACCGACACTATCGATATTTAGCAAAGTGTGGCGTGCACACACACGAGAAGTACTTGAGAGGCTTTTCAGAAGTGTACATGTGAGTATTTTTCACGTTAACAATTAACAGTAATAGATTTAATGTGTGCTTATATATGCCTTTTATTTATAAAAAGTAGTATTTCTTTCCCATCTATAACAGCTACTCTTTACACATAATTTTAAAAGAATCATTTAAAAAAACACAAAGCAAACAACATCATAGGTAACACACAGCTACAAAAAACTGTGAAGATAGTACATGAGTAGCTGAAACTTAGAAACACTATCTTACATTATACTGGTTTGCACACAGAACCTGTTAATTTAATTTCATCCTAACTTTAATAGGTATTGTCTGAAAGCCCAAACTAAGATTATAAAAACTGCTGTATCTGCATCTTGTATTTTTAAAGACATCTTATTGTTTTCCCCAAATAAGCAGGTTATATCCCTGTTATATATATATAAGATGTTCCTCCAGAACCATATATATAATTAAATGAACATGTTTAACAATCTATGTAAGAACTGTGAGGATGTTGGGGCGCCTGGGTAGCTCAGTCGGTTAAACATCCAACTTCGGCTCAGGACATGATCTCATGGTCAATGAGTTCGAGCCCCATTATCGGGCTCTGTGCTGACACCTCAGAGCCTGGAGCCTGCTTCAGATTCTGTGTTTCCCTCTCTCTCTCTGCCCCTCCCCTGTCTGTGCTCTGTCTCTCTTGCTCTCAAAAATAAATAAAACATTTAAAAAAGAGGATTAAAAAATGTTTTGGGGCGCCTGGGTGGCTCAGGTCATGAGCTCACAGTTCGTGAGTTTGAGGCCCGCATCGGGCTCTATGCTAACAGCTTGGAGCCTGGAGCCCGCTTCAGATTCTGTGTCTACCTCTCTGCCCCTCCCCCACTCACGCTCTGTCTCTCAAAAATAAATAAACATTAAAAAAAAAGAAATGTGAGGATGTAAAAACCTGGTTTTAGAGCTGTTAAGTTCATTTGTGGATAACTGAGATTTTGTTTAAACAAGTGGAACAATGGAACACATAATTTGCTGAAGTAATTTAAACACGTGTAAATAGAAAGTATATAACTCAATAATAAGTACTTAACTTTCAGCCTTGAAATGCACCCTTTTATGTAAGACTACCCAAATAATAACACGTCAGGGGTAAGACCAAAATCAGAGAACTAAAGTGGCTTTTCTGCCCCCTTGCCTCACTTGACAATGGACCACACCCGATGCCTCTGCGTCAGTCCCCAACTTGCAGAGTGCTCCCACAGACTGCCATCTGACAGACAATTCCTTAGGGGAACAAAAGAGATCAAGAAAACCTATGAAAGGCATTGAAAAACTATTTTTTATCATTTCACTAAAGAAGGAATTAAACCTCTGCCCTCTCTAAAGTGAATGAGACATTACTTTACCTTCAGAGACACAGGCAACAATTAGTTTTAACCGCACTGGACCAGGGGGACAGTGGTCACACGGCCTGGTACGGCTCGGGTTACACCTCCTGTCATGGGGGATTAGTAACACCACTACCTGTCACCCTCAGAGGTCTCCTGGTTTGACGCAACGTTACATGGTCACCCCACTAAATGTACACTATTGGCATCTGTCTGATCAGGACATGAAATTCCTTCTAATCAGTTACACTGTGTCCCTCCAATGGTCGTACACAAAGGGAGCTGAGTGAAAAGAAAGATGTGAGAGCATACGAAAACCATGGTTTACTCTGCCTGAGCCATAAAATTAAAGATTTACAGCAATCAACTACTTTTTAAAAATCTCACTTGAGAGAGTGTCTTTTTCAGGCTTGAAGAGACGTCAACATCACATGTATTTTGATTATCTAGTTCAGAATCTGCTCCTGAGAAGCTAAACAGATAAACATTTCATTAAGAAATTTGTCAACGTTCTGAAAAAAGGACCAAAAGAAAACTTAAAGCTAACTGAATTAAACAGTTTTTAAGATCTAACAATTCTACATTGGATGAACCAGTAACTTACACGTGTGGTTCCTCTTTCATTAGCTGGAAAGAGAGGAAAGGGAAGAAAAATCTTTTAGTTTAGAATGTATTTTGTGTAAATGAGGTAAAATCATCATTCTAAAACAACAAGCCTACCATGGAGGCCAGGGTAGAAAAGGTCGATAATAATTTTGACTCCACGGACAGCGGGAGCAGCTCCTCCAGCGGCTGGCCCTGGACTATTCTGTTCTTCAGGCTGTCGTACCGCACCTTCAGGTCTCCCAGCACAGACAGCAGCGCTGACCCCAGCTCCTTCTGAGTAGAATTTCTCCGTAAGTTCCTGTTTGGAAGTTACATTTACAAAACTACTTAGGTACAGGTCACCCACTGAATATGATTATGTTACATTACACACAGATCTTTACAGATTTTTCCTTTAAATGTTTAGTAAAAGCAAGTGAGCCAAAGAAGAGGTTTTCTAGGGGCAGCACCAAAACCCGCCATGTGTAAGCTAGAGAGACTGCGGCAGAATGTCGTGCCAAACTCTGCAACTGACTTCAGCCATACTTGGGACTTTATTTAAAAAAAAAAAAAAACCACCAACGCTATCTTTTGACTGGACTCCTCATCCTGACATACACTGCTGCCTCTCCATGAAATTGAAACGTGTTACTTTTGGAAGCCCTCTACCCCCAGGCCAGCTAACAAAATTAGTTACAATCTACCCCTCATTTTGCCTTTGGAAAATAAAAACTAAAGATGTTTTCTGGTATAAATTTAAAGCTTGTCGTAAACTTCCAAGACACAGATTTAAAAGGAACAATCACCTGTTTACTCCTTCCCTGTTGTCTGTTACAAGCTTGTAAATATCCCCGCAATGGCGCTGGCACATCTGGTAGTGAACGTTTAGAAGGTGCAGCTCTGCCCTCACTGCCCTCTGCATGACCTCCTCACAGCACCTGGAGGGCAGACTCCTCCTCGACTCTTTATAAAGTGGACATTCCCTTGAAAAGAAAAGACTGGATTCGGTAAGATTCCAAATATTTTTCTCTGGTTAATGACACGCCTTTCAAACAGATTTTAAAATTTCTTATATTTTCCCATCAAGCTTAAATCAATTTCTACTAAAGATGGAAAGGCTGTAGGAGCACATTACATCTTCTGAAAACAAGGATGACATGTAAAGTTCTAAAAGTCAGGGAAGTAAGAAATTCTCCAATGTATAGTCTCTTTTACCAAAAAGAAGGATTCCAAAGTAAAATATCAACTTCATTCACCCAGAATCAATAGATTTTCAACCTAAACCAAGCTTTGGCCAACATTTTTTAAAGTTGTAAGCATTCTGGATGGAAATGCTTCTTAAATGTGTTATCTCTTTGGGGTGCCTGGGTGGCTCCATCGGTTAAGCATCCGACTTCGGCTCAGGTCATGATATCATGGTTCGTGGGTTCGAGCCCCACGTCGAGCACTGTGCGGACAGCCAGCTCAGAGCCTGGAGGCTGGTTCAGATTCTGTGTCTCCCTCTCTCTCTGACCCTCCCCTGCCCACACTGTTTCTCTCTCTCTCTCTGTCAGAAATAAAACATTAAAAAGAATTTAAATTTGTTATCTCTTTAACAGAAAATAAACATAATTTACATGTTTCTTAATTAAGGGTTGTTACTATAAGCAGATATTTTACTGTAAATAGATCAAAAAGCCCCAAATCACTAGTGTTCTCTGAATGTTAATAGTTCCTCCCTTGCGGCTACTTGCCACTTCGTGCTGTTGTCAGTAGCCCCGCGTGGGAAACAAGCTCTTCCACTGAATTTCAGAGGATTGGACACCAGATTAAACTCATTAGAATGAAGAGCGAATAAAGGAAAAAGTAAATGACCTCATGCATGACAACGAACTTGGCTTCTCAGAGTCCTTCCCTTTCCTCTCCAAATCCCCATCCCAGTTCTCCATGGATGCAGAGTAAACTACACAATGAATTAAAATCAAGACTAAAAAACTCCAGTGAGAGTAGCTATTTACTTCTTCAAATGTGTAAAGTTTTCCATAGGTGCTATGGGTCTATAGGGGTAGAAAATGAAAGAAAATGGAGTAATTAAATTTGTATAGATTTGAGTTGAATCAACAGAGATAATAAGATGCTATGAGTTTCTGAGGGAATTACTGAGACTGAATTAGTAAGTGAAAAGCTTTAACACTATATATGTTACCCTAATGTTTATTTGACAGCAAATAGCCAAAGCAGATGGCCCCTTAAGGTCCCTTATAGCTATTTTTCTACGTGGTTAAACACCTTACAAAAAAGCAAATTATCATTTTGCTTCTTTTCCCCATGTACATCCGTTAAGCTTATACATCTGACTTACCTTTCAGGATGTTTCTTTAAGTCTGTGATAGCAGATGTTTTTCTTAATTCCAGGGAATCCTGGAAAACATGGTTTAACGTTAAATTAGAAATAAATACAAACAAATGCTGTATCTGGAGTTCCAAATTGGTCAAACGCAAAGCCCCACTTCTAACGGACTCTGGCAGCAGCTGCCTCTCAGGAAGGCCAGAGTTCGGGGGCACTCTGTTCTCCGTCTCCTCCCAGCCAGCATTTTCTCACAAACGCCTCAGGAACCCCCGTGATAATGTGCTGAGTTATAACGTATGCTGCCTTTCTAGAAGGTCAAATAAAATCTTATTATTAGTCACACTGGCTTTACCTTACTTAGGAAATCTCCATCAGGTTTTGATCTGTCAACTGAGAGAGATCTTCCCAGCAGCCCTCTGCTCATCGCCGCTGGTGTGTCTTCATGACCTTGGCCGTGTGGCCCATCTGTATTACAAGCTACACTTCTTTGTCTTGCACTCTGCCAGTCCCCAGGCCACCTTCTGTTCGTCATGGTTATGTCTGTATTGCTTGACGTGGATACTACAGACGGTCCCGCACTTGTTGCCCTGCTGGTTGTGAAACAAGCCCTAAAGTCAGTGCAAACGTCCACGGTCTGATTAACGGTGACTGCACCGCCTGCCGCACACATCCTCAACTCGGGGCGTGTTCCTTCTATGCTTTGAAAACATGGCTTACTTGTGGTGCTGCCCCGGACCGCTCTGAGGGGGGAGTCTGCTACCGCCTCAGGGGCTCGGACTGCAGTCTTCGGGACAGTGACAGCAAAATCTGAGGCTAAGCTGGGGGCATTTTGTCGGCTTGTGCAATGGGAATATCCACAGGAGGAAATGACCGAATCATCAAAAACAGAGGCCCAGGGAGGCTGACAATCTTCACAGGGCTGGAGGAACACCTGTAAAGCTCTGTCTTGTCGCAACGTGCTAGGATTTCTAAGGTGGTGCAACTTGCTGCTCTCAACGACTTCATCCTCACAAAAATCTTTACTTTCAGTTATCTGACATTTCACCTTGCTGGTATACATTTTGGTTTTTAGTGCTTTCTGAGGGTTCAAGAAACTGCTCTGAGATCGAGATGCCTGGTTTTCAAGGGGACTGCTCCCTAGTACAAGGTCATCAAATACCGTGTGGTACATCAAACTAGTCTCTTGTTCCTTACACCTTTCCGGCTCTGGTTCATGATACTCTCTTACCACAACGGAACTCTGAAACCTGGAGCCATGAGGTGCATCTTCTTGTCCATAAACATCAACTGAATCTAAAAAGATGCTAGAATCACTTGCCACTGTAACGTGATTTCCGTCTAGAGGGCGAGCACACGTAACCTCATGAGCTGAATTCCTCGACCCAACCACTTCCAGATCAGGTATGTGTAACAGTTTCGTGTGGTCAGAAGACACGCGGGCGCCTGCGCCTTCCTGCTCCTCGGCGCTGTGGTACTCCTGCTGGGAGTCCTCATCCAGCTCACGCTTCCGCGCGTCTCCAGCAGTTTCTTTACAATCGTCATCCGAGATCTCGTAGGCTCTCTCCAAGCTGATAACCTTCATACTGTGATGGTCCAAAATGTCAAAACACACCCCTGCTGTGCTCTGTGTTTCAGAATCCAATTCTGAAGGTAAGTGAGTGAGACTTTCATTCTTCTGTTCTGACTCGGAATAACGTATGGAGTAGGTTTCACTCAAGAAAGCAGAGTCCGCACTCTCCTGGAACTCAGTAGACTGGGAGTGAGCGCTCTCTCCGCTGGCGTCCAGGCTCCCAGCACAAGAGGGCTCCAGGAAACCCGCCATGTCAGGCCGGCTCACTTCTGGGCCATCAGCTCTTTGTTCTGCTGCCAAGGAATGCGAGTCGTCCTCAAGAAAAGCCAATTTGGGTTCATTACAAACATTGGAAGATAACAACACATGCGCTTTCTTAGGATTAGAAGGTTCATCTGATTAAAAAAAGAAGAAAATGTTGACAGCAGTAACATTACAAGTTCAAAACACTAGACGTCACCCTCAGACATGATCTAATCAAAGCTCTTCCCAACAGAGGGCTTCTTTTTACAACGCCCATGACAAATACCCCTTGCGGTTCTGCTGTGGACTCAATTTTGTCCCCCTCAAAATTTTAATGTTGAGCCTTGACTCCCAGGGTGACGATAACTGGAGATGGGCCTTTGGGAGTTAAGTGGGGCTACAGAAGGTCATGAGGATGGGGCCCCCAGGACGGGATACGTGCCAGAGAGCTTGCTCTTTCTCTCCACCATGTGAGAACACGGCGAGAAGGCAGCCATCTACAAGCCAGGAAGAGAGCCCTTCTGGGAACCTGACCATGACGGCACCCTGATTCTGACTTCTACCCTCCACAACTGTGAAAAAATGTGTGTTGTTTAAGCCGCCCAGTCCACTGTATTCTGTTACACCAGCCCCAGCTGCCTGAGGGAACAGCCAAGATGCTTCTTGAACTCGTTCAATGGCAAGGGGTTTACTATTTATAGGGCAGCCACTCTGTAATCTCTGGGTGCCTAAGGACACCTCAGGCATTGTAGAGACAAGGAAAGAAGACACAGGCACTGCACCCAGACACATCCGGCTTCCAGAAGGGACACAGATAAGAACCATACATGTGAGTGTGACCCAGCTGCAGGGTGCTGACAGAGTTGTGTTAATGAGCAAGCAAATGGCCGAGAAGAAAGGAGACACAAACTTCAGAGAAAACTTTACATTAAAAAGTGTTGTGAAACAAAACGGACAGTTTTTAGGCAAATCAAACTGCACGGTACAAAGTTAGCTACGTGAAAGACACGGCATTTTCGGGAAACCGTAAGCCACTCTGTGGGAGTCAAACAGCTCCGTGGAAATGACAGGAGCTATGAGCACAAAGAGGCCTTTCTCAAGGTGCTCCGGAGTCCGGCTCTCGCGCTAAGGCAGCAGACAACTCCGAAGTCAGTTAAACGCCGACTTCGGCTCAGGTCACGATCTCACAGTTCGTGCATTCGAGCCCCACGTCGGGCTCTGTGCTGACAGCTCAGAGCCTGGAGCCTGTTTCAGATTCTGTATCTCCCTCTCTCTCTCTGACCCTCCCCTGCTCATGCTGTCTCTCTCTCTCTCTCACAAATAAAAAACATTAAAAATTAAAAAAAAAAAAGGGTGGGCTCATGAATGGAAGTCGGTGGACACCCCTGGCAGCGTTAAGGACAGAAGCTTGAAGGGGGGATGGAGGCACAGAGACCGAGCAGAGGTGGAAGCGAAAGTGCCCCAGCTGCCACGATCGGCTCATCCACTAGGAATGGTCGACAAGGCAGAGATAATGGCTTTTAAAATTTTGTTGACGGGGATGCCTGGGGGGCTCGGCCAGTTAAGCGTCTGACCCTGGCTCAGGTGATGATCTCACTGTTCCCGAGTTCAAGCTCCACACTGGGCTCTGTGCTGACAGCTCAGCACCTGGAGCCTATTTCGGACTCTGTGTCTCCCTCTCTCTCTGACCCTCCCCTACTTGCATCTGTCTGTCTCTTTCAAAAATAAACATTAAAAAATTTTTTTAATTAAAAAAAATGTGTTGACTAAGAACATAATCGGAACCACGGTTTCTAGGAAGACCCAGTACACACACAGACACACATACACACACACCTATGTGCATTAGTGAAATAAAAATCGTACAAAACAGTACCCTATGTCTGATACATTTTGGTAGTTTCTGGTCTATTTAATATATTTCAAAAAAGCCCATCACAATCAGCTAAGCTGATTTCATGACTACCAGCTGGGTACCACCTGCCTGAGCACCATTCTGAGATAACGTTAAAGTTGACAGTGGGGTGCTGCAGTTGCGTGGGGGAACGCGGGGCTGAAGAGACCGGCACTTTATGAAGAGCAGAGCAAAAGTGGGGGGTGGGGGATAAGGAGGAGTTCAGTTCCAGGCAAGCAGAGTTTAAGGTTAGGGGTAAGACACCCAGATGTGAGTGTCTAATAAACTATTATGAACATGGGGCTGGAGCGAAGGACAGGGGGCTGGCCTCACTTTCACATTCCTAAGTTTTTCTGAGGGATGTGTTTAGGACTTTGCTATGTATTCTGGGTACTAATTCTTTGTTTTTCATATTTATAATAGGAGTGACTTTTTCCAAGTTTACTGCTTATCTTTTCATTGTCTATAAAATCTTATCACACCATGGTTTTTAACATTAGTTGAATGCATCAGTCTTCTGTGACTTCTGGGTTTTGTCTCTCTGGCTTTCTCTACCACATGGTTATAAAGGTATTCTTCCATGTTTTATTTGAATTCTGTGTGTGTGTGTCTGTTAAAGCCACAAATGTTCACAGGTACATAAAGCTTAATCATCTTGCTTTTTATGCTCGTTTTTTTCCTGTTTTCTCAGGTACCATTATGACGGAGAAGGAAGTTTCAGGTCTGTGTGAAGACAAAACATCCACAATCTGGGCGGCGGAGGCCGAGCCGCCCACCTTCCGCTCACGTCCACTCGGCACCCAGAAGGCCGCTGTGCCTGCCAGCAGTTCCCGAAGGCCCGCGTGCACAGACACCCCTCTGCCTGTCCACCTGGTCTTCCCTGACCCCTCCATTCACCGGAGCGCTCCCGCGTCGGCGGCCCACACTCCCCAGGAATCACCTGAGTCTGCCAAATTACAAACACGCGGACTCTCACCACCTTACTAGAAGGCAGGCTTAAAAAATAGCAACCGTGGAGAACTACCTAGCCCAATTACATTACGTACCCCTCTCCACCCACAATAAAGCCAACTGGCTGGCCCCTTACCTTTCTGGATGTTTCCTCCATCGCTGCAGTAGCCTTTCCCGGAAGCTACCTGCTTCATGGCAGAAGCCTGCATCTCTCAAGGGCTTGCACTCTGGGAGAGGCAGAAACACTGAACTATTATCATACTTGGCGTTACATTTAAAAACACTATTAGAAAATCAAGAATGTGACAAAATGCCAATTATAGGCAAAGATTCACATATAAGAGAGCTAACAAAGGTGGCAGAACACTTGAGTCACTGTTATAAAAGCATGAATTGACAGCTACATAATAGATTACACTATTTAAAGACACATGACACATTCTTTTAAAATTTCCAAGTGACGTTTAAGGGAAACAATATATTAGGCCATCAAAAAGTCGTAATCCAAAAAAACAGTGTTAAAAGCTATAGTATGGCCCTCTGACGTCAAACCTGGATCAAAAATGTTTGGACCTGGCTCAAAGTTATAACCAGAAGAAGCCACAGCTTTAGATGCTTATTATTAAGTCAAACTCAATGAACTCATAAGCAATCAACTCAAACCTCAGTCTGTAGAGCATGCAATTCTTGAGCTCAGGATCCTGAGTTCAAGCCTCACGTTGGGTACAGAGCCTACTTAAAAAAAAGAAGAAAAAAAAAAGAAAATATAGTAAAGATCTAAAATATTTAAATCAAAAAATAATTAGTTAAGACAAAAGCAGAAGTGACCAATTTAAAAAGAATAAAAAATAATAACTAAAACCACAAGCTATGCTTTGAAAAAATAAATAAATACCTGACAAATCTGAGAAAGGACTGAGTCACAATGAAAAAAGGAGCATTTTAATAAGAGATTTTTAAAAAGTTCTTTGGGCACTTGGGTGGCTCAGTCAGTTCAGGGTCAGACTCTTGGTTTCAGCTCAGGTCATGATCTCATAGTTTGCAAGTTTGAGCTCCACATTGGGCTCTGCACTGAGAGTATAGAGTCTGCTTGAGATTCTCTCTCTCTCGCCCTTTCTGCCCCTCCCCTGTTCATTCATATTCTCTCTCTCTCAAATACATAAACTTAAAAAAAAGTTCTCTCAAAAACAGATTGCTCAGGTGTCTGGGTGGCTCAGCCAATTAGGTGTCTGACTTCAGCTCTTGAAGTCCATGAGTTTAAGCCCCATGTGGGGCTCTGTGCTGACAGCTTAAAACCTGCAGCCTGCTTCCAGATTCTGTGTCTCCCTCTCTCTCTGTCCCTCCCCCACTTGTACTCATGCTCTAAAATAAACTTTTAAATAATTAAAAAAACCTGAGACTGCTATACACACTTCTGATGGATAAATGAAAATATAACCAAAATAGGCAATTTTTCTAGGAAAATTATATATATAAAAAAAACTTAACATAAAAAGCTGAATGGAGAACCAATCAGAAAAAAACTTGTAAGGCCACCAAAGATCTACCCTGTATCAATTCCTATCAAGTCTACTAAATTCTTAAAAAAAATTTTTTTAATGTTTGTTTACTTTTGAGAGAGGCGAAGACAGAGCACAAGCGGGGGAAGGGCAGAGAGGGAGACACAGAATCTGAAACAGGCTCCAGTCTCTGAGCTGTCAGCATAGAGTCTGACGCGGGGCTTGAACTCACAAACCATGAGATCATGACCCGAGCCAAAGTCAGACGCCCAACGAACTGAGCCACCCAGGTGCCCCAATTCTTCTTCTTTTTTTTTTTAAAGCAGGTTCCACACCCAGCATTGAGCCCAATGTGGGGCTTGAACTCATGATCCTGAGATCAAGACCTGAGCTGAGATAAAGAGCTGGACACTCAACTGACTGAGCCACCCAGTCAGTGGTACCTCAAAGCCTACTAAATTCTTATTTCATCAGTATTAGCAGGAAAATTCTAGGTCAAGTGAACAAAATTCTCACCTGAATCATAAAACAGAGTCCTGGCTCCTTAATCAAGTCCCAGAATTGTGCTAGTTTAGACCCAGAAGCCCTCGAATTTAGGGGAAGCAGGGTCCTCTTGAGGAAGGACCCCTAAAATACACTAAAAAAATCAGAACTGTTAATCTTTCTCCTAAGGGACTTACAGCCTTTTACTAGGCTAGCTATACATGGGCAAAAAGGAAATAATCAGACCTTTCAGGGACTACTGGCTCTGAATGGACACTGATTTTATGAGACTCAAAACGTCACTGTGGCCCGGCCCTATACTCAGAGTAGGAACTTCCGGGGACCAGATGATCAGTGCAGTATCAGCTCGGGTCCATTTTGTAGTGGGTCCACCGGGTCCCTGAGCCCATCCCGTGGTTATTTCCCCAGCTTCTGAATGCACAGTTGGAAAAGACATACTTAACAGAATCCTCACACTGCTTCCGTGACCTGTTGGGTAAGGACTATTATATGGGGGGAAAAGCCAAATGGAAGGCATTAGAACTGCCTCTACTTCGGAAGAAAGTAGTAAATCAAGGCAATATCACACCTAAAGGGACTGCAGAGATTAGTGTCACCACCAAGGACTTGAAAGATGTAAGGGTTGTAATTCCCGGGTCCCCACTGAATTCCCATATTTGGCCTGTGCAGAAGACACATGCATCTCAGAGAGGACAGTGGGTTTATCATAAGCTTAACCGGAGGTGACTCCAACTGCAAGGGAGTCAGCCAAGCGCGGTCCGTGGCCTGAGCACGCCTGCAACCAGCATCCTGCGTCCTGCAGCCAGTGGCGCAGGGTTTGAGGCTGCTGATCTGGCCAGTGTGTTTCAGGTAGGAAGCCAGACTTCCACAGGGTTCATGTGGTTTGTTTTCTGTCCTTCAAGAGTCATAGTCCTGTACTGCCTCCTGTCCACTGTTGGGAAGCAGCTGTTTCACACACGTTGCCTGATTTATGGTAACATGACGAATCTAGTCTGTTACTACATTGTGGCCAGAATCTTCCATATGCTTGAGAGTATATTTTCTGACTACAGTACAACTAAGAATAATTAAAATGATAACAATTTCCCAAATATTTAGAAATTAAACAAAACACTTGTAAATAATTCATGGGCAAAAAAACCCCCCAAAACCCAAAAAAAACCCCGTATCATAATGGAAATTAGAAAATATTCTGAACTAAAATGATTATGAAAATACAACATATCAAAAGTTGTTCTGTTTAGAGGGAAATGTATAGCTTTAAGAGCTTATATTAGAAAAGAAAAAAAGGTGTAAAATCAATTATCATTTTAAAATATTTGAGAGAGAAAGAGAAAGAGCAGGGGAGGGGAAGAGAGAGAGAGAGAGGGGGAGAGAGAATCACAAAGAGGCTTATATCAGCACAGAGCCTGACGCAGAGCTTGATTTCACAAACTGTGAGATCATGACCTGGGCTAAAACCAAGAGTCAGATGCTTAACCAACTGAGCCACCTAGGCATCCCTAAAATCAGTTATCTGTCTTAAGAAACTAGAAAAATTAGTGGTGTCTGGGTGGCTTAGTTGGTTAAGCGTCCGACTTTCGCTTAGGTCATGATCTCACGGTTCGTGGGTTCGAGCCCTGCGTCGGGCTCTGTGCTGACTGCCAGCTCAGAGCCTGGAGCCTATTTCAGAGTCTGTGTCTCCCTCTCTCTCTGACCCTCCTCTGCTCACACTGTCTCTCTCTCTCTTAGAAATAAATAAAAATATTAAAAAAAGAAACTAGAAAAATTAGAATTAAGCCCAAAGTGGGATGGAAATGGGAGGTAAACAAAAATAAACAAATAGATAAAAATGAACACATCCAAATTTTTAAAAAAGATTAATAAAATTCGTAAACCCTTCACAAAACATTTAAGAGCAAACACAAATTGCCAGTATCATACATGATAAAGGGGATGTTATTATAGAACCTATAGACATTAAAGCAATGGTGAATATAATGGACATTATCTGATAAATTCTACAATTCAGACATATTTCCTTGGAAACCACAACTGTCCAAAACAGACATAAGGAGAAATAATGTGAATAGTTCCATCTCTCTCTTTCTCTTTTAATGTTTACTTATTTATTTTTGAGAGAGAGAGAGTGCGCACAAGTGGGGGAGGGATGTAGACAGGGAGATACAGAATCCAAAGCAGGCTCTGAAGTGTCAGCACAGAGCCTGAGGCGGGGCTCGAACTTACAAACCATGAGATCATGACCTGAGCCAAAGTAGGGTGCTTAAAGAGCCACCCAAGCACCCCCCCTTTTTAAAATTAATGAATAGGCCCACATCTCTTAAGAAAATTAAGTCTGTAATTAAAATTTTTCCCTCAAAGAAAATCCCAGATGCAGATAGTTTCACTGATGAATTCTACTCATCAACTAAAGTAGAAATAAAGGCAGAATTCAATTTTAACCAGTCTTTTAGAAAAGCGGGGAAAAGGGAAGACTCCCCAATATGTTACAGATCCAGCATAACCCTGTTACCAAAATCTGAGGATGCTCCAAGAAAAAAATAAAAGGACTAATAGCACAGAGACTTCAATATCCTAAAGTAATTTTTTGCAAAACAAATTCAGCAACATAAAAAAGCAGTAAGTTACTGATCAAAGTAAGGGAATAAAGGAGAAAAATCACATGATTATCTCAATAGATGCAGAAAAGGAATTTGATGAAACGTGTTAAAACTCAGAACCTATTCATGGTAAAAGCTCTCAGTGAATCAAAAACAATAAGGACTTTCCGCAATCTAATAATAGGTATCTACAGAAAACCCAAAAGAATAAAAAACCATATAGACAACATACTTGATGGTGAAAAATTCAATAATTTCTGTCAAAAATGAAACACTTGTTCTCTTACCACTTATTTCATGTACCAGAGATATCAGCCACTGTAATCAATCAAAGGCATACAGACTGAAGAGGAAAAAAAAAGTAAAACTATCTTTATTCACAGACCACATGATAATGTACACACAAAAGCCAAAAAGATAAAGAAACTACAATTATTAAGTAAATTCAGCAAGGTTGAAAAATAAAAGATCAAGCGCAGGTCTATATTCTAGCAACAAACGTCTGGAAAATGAAAATTTTAAAAGAGTATCATTTACAAAAAACATGAAAAACTTTGTGGTTAAGTGCAATGCAAGATGCTAAGACTTTTATGTTGAAACCTACAA